TTCTAAAAAAATTTCTCTTACAAAGTTTAGAATTAGGTGTTTTTCCGGTTGGCATGTGGGTTTTGTTGAAGGTTCACTGCAATGTTTTTTTAAATTTTCTTCAGTACGTTTAGGCAGTACGTTTAGGCAGTACGTTTAAGCAGTTCGTTTTCACTGCAATGTGGTTTTGGCATTTTATTTTCACTGCAATGTGTTCCCTGCAGTACGTTTAGGCAATACGTTTAGGCAGTTCATTTTCAATGCAATGTGGTTTTGGCATTTTATGTTCACTGCAATGTGTTCCCTTAGGTTCTATGCAGTGTGTTTTAATTTTTAAGCATGGCAGTGTTTTTTTGATTAATGTATTGAATTTTTTTGGGCTTTGTTGAACTTGTTTAGGTTTTTTTGGGAATGTTAGACGTAATTCATAGTTTAGAATATGTTTTTGCTTGGTTTTGACATTGAATGTGCTTCTAAAAAAATTTCTCTTACACAGTTTAGAATAAGTTTTTTTCCCACGGTGGCAGGGGGGTTTTGTTGAAGGTTCACTGCAATGGGTTTTTAAATTTTTTTTAGTGTGTTTTTATTTTCTGCAATGTGTTTTTTTGTTTCCATTTGGTTCTATGTAGTGTGATTTACTTTTTAAGTTTGGCAGTGTTTTTTTAATTAACGTGTTGAATTTTTTTGGCTTTGTTGAACTCGTACGGGATATTTTTGTGAATGTTAGACGTAATTCAAAGTTTAGAATAAGTTTTTGCTTCGTTTTGACATTGAATTTGCTCCTAAAAAATTCTCTTACAAAGTTTATAATAAATCTTTTTCGGTGTGTTCACTGCAATGTGTTTTTGTAGTTGGTTCACTGCAATGTGTTTTTTAATTTTCCTCAGTGTGTTCTTATTTTCTGCAGTGTGTTTGTTGTTTCCCATAGGTTTTATGCAGTGTGTTTTAATTTTTAAGCTTGGCAGTGTTTTTTTATTAATGTATTGAATTTGTTTGGCTTTGTTGAACTTGTTTAGGTTTTTTAAGAATGTTAGACGTAATTCAAAGTTTAGAATACATTTTTGCTTTTTTTGGCATTGAATTTACTTCTTAAAAAAATTCTCTTACAAAGTTTAGAATAAATTTTTTTCCCGGGGTGGCAGGGGGTTTTTGTTGAAGGTTCATTGCAATGTGTTTTTAATTTTCTTCAGTCTGTTTTTATTTTCTACAGTGTGTTTTTGTTTCCCTTTGGTTCTATGCAGTGAGTTTTATTTTTTAAGCTTGGCAGTGTTGTTTTGATTAATGTTTTGTTTTTTTGGCTTTGTTTCGCTTTGTTTCCATTTTTTGGTTTTTTTAAGCTTACCTAGATGCTATATTGTTGTTGTAGGAAGCTGACGTGGCCTCTAAAGGTGTTATGCAAGATGGGAGAACTTTTAGCTTATAGCTATGAGAGGAAGGAAGAATCCAGAAAGAAATAGACTTTTTTTTATACCTTGGATATTTTAATGTTTGTATGACAGCTGTTTGGAGTTTGTTTTAGTTTTTTGTGGTATAAATGATATTATGATTTGTTTTAGTAATAATTTATGGGCATTTAATTAATTAGTAATTTGAGAAGTGGATTCCTGGAGATTTTTTTTATGTCACACTGCCATGACCATTCCACGTTTCCAAAATTGTTTAGGCAGTCACTGCACACTTTGTTTAAAAAAGTACAATATACACTGCAATGTATGCACAATCTTCACTGCCACATTAGAAATAAGTATGAAATTATATGTTCTTCACTGCCACAATATGTTTGAGATTGAATTTAGTGCCCTACCACATACGAGTCTTCTGAAAAAAAAAGAGCAGAATTTATTTTATTTCGTGGGATTTATTTTTTTACGGTAATTATACACTAGAATATGTAATCTCTACAATGCCAGAATATGTTCTTCCAAAAATTCAATGTTTAAAATACACTGCAACAATATTTACACCGCCACAAAATATACACTATGCCAATAACTCATTGTTTGAAATAAACTTCCAGAATATATACACTGCCACAATATATTTTTAAACTAGCACAATATATTTACTGCCAAAAATTCACTGCCGTAATACACTTCCACATTTCACAAGGAATTTAATAAGAAGTAAAAGAATGCAACTTATATCCTATTCACTTTTTGTAATTAAATGGTGCAAGTGGACAAAGTATTATATATTACTCCCTCCGTCCACAAATAAACTTTACATTGTGCGTTACGATGTTTGACTGAAGTTATTTTCAAATCATTTTATATGAAAAATGGTGTAGAATTGAAAAGTAAAAATTACATATTAAAAAACTATATCAAAAGATCTACAAAACTAGAGATGACATGACTATATTATTTTATCAAATGGGTGACGAAAATAGGCCAACAAAGTGAATAAAGTTTGACCCTGTGAATAGTGAACGTAAAGTTTATTTGTGGACGGAGGGAGTACTAAAAAAATCAAGTTATAGTATAAGGAGTACAACTATTAAAAGAGTGAAAAAACAAAGAATGTGTCTAAACAACGTCAAAAATGGATGAAGGAAATTGTTGAGAATTGTACATTATACGGAATATGAAAGAATGTAGTGTCAATTTGGTATTGGGTTTTTGCATGTTTTTACGTTATGCCCCAAATTCAAACACCGTGTGCATCTTTGCTTTCTACGCCTATGGCCTATTTGAAATTCACCGAAAGATGGAAGTCTCCTCTTCTTTGGTCTACCCGGGGGACGCTTATTACAAGATGGAGGCTTGCAAATCACTGATGCAACATCCGGCGGAACACTCCAGGAAGATTTATCTCCTATTGGGTGCACAATGCCATTGTAAGTAGCAACTAATGATTCCCGTCTGTAGTATGGTGAGATGAAATCATAACATGACAAACCAAAATTTAGGCATTTAATCTTCACACTGTCTACACCATAACACCTAATCTTGACAGTGCCAAAATCACACTTTCAAAATCACGAACATATGCCACTATGTTAAACATTCTCTACGAAGAAAAATAGGAAATAAATAAAACAAAAAATGCAGGGCAACATTTAGGCATTTAATCTTCACACTGCCCACACCATAACACCTAATCTTGAAAGTGCCAAAATCACAATGCCTTTCAAAAGACCTAATTTTTCAAAAGGGACAAATACTAGATATTTCAAAATTGATTTCACAACACCTAATCTTTAGTACGAAGACAACACAATAATTAAACTTAAAATACATGGAAATCCAAATAAAGGGATGAAAGGAATGAAAATTAAAAATTGAAGTAGAAGAGAAAATGATTAGCCACATCTTTGAAGGAATTCGAGATAACCTGATGATTGCCGCTGTTGGTCGGAGCAGGAATCGTGAGAGAAGGCCTGAGGATGCATGATCATGGGCGACTAAAGTAGAACTTGCGCCAATGAAGAGTACGTGCGCGAGAACAGACTTACGTGCGACTAGGGCTTAATTTTGTAATGAGAAAAGGCAAAAAAAGGTTAAAGGGCATGATAGTAAAGGATTGACACAAAAAAGTGCTAAATTTGTTAAAAAGAATAAGTAGTGCTATATGCGTAGTTTAGGGTGAGTTAGAGTGCTATGGAGGGTGATTTCTTTTTTTAAATCAGGACATTACAGATATCTTCTTTCATTATAATGCATAATAATCCTAACTTTACTAAAATTTGTAAATTTTGAATCATCGTTAAGTTGTTAACAACAAGTTAGCGGAAACGAGTTTTGCGCACGAAATGAAAGTTGAGATTTTTTTTTTGATGAATTTTGTTTTAATTTTTTTTAAATTTCAAATTACTTTCTAGCTCCACCATTTTTTTTCTTTTTTATAGATTAGTCTTGCTTTTCAAAAAAATAAAAATAATAGAAATAAAATAAAGAAAATGAGAAAAATAACTAAAACGATACAAAATTAATGAAATAAATAAGGTGATCAATAGAAACTAACTTGAAACTGATAAGAAACAAAACAAAATATATCAAGTAGTGGGTTTTATTATTTTATGCACTATACAAAGTATTAATATACAACTTCTTCTTATTTTTTTGGGAAAAATTATCTAGAATAACTTCAACTTCACCAGACGGCTTGTTCTTTCAAAAATAAGTACTACATTAAGACTCTATATAATGCGTAAATTCTTAAGACCCACCACTATACATATATTTATTTTATTTCTTACCAGTTTCAGTTTAATTTGTATTTATTGCTTCATTTATTTCATTTACTTTTTATGGTTTTAGTTATTTTTCTTATTTTTTATCTATTTGTTTTTTATAAGGTAAGACTAATCTCTAAAAAGAAAAACGCAATGGATGTAGAAAGTAATTTTAAAAATTTAAATGAGAATTTCAAAAAAAAAAATAAAAACAAAAATTCATAAAAAATAATCTCAACTTTCATTTTGTTGTACAAAACATGCATTTGTGTTAAACCGCTGTTAGCAATTTAACACCGACCCAAAACTCAAAAATTTTTGTAAAATTGGGATTATTATGTATCACAATGAAAAGTCAGATTATTTTTGAAAGATCAGGTAAAACTGAGATTATCTTGGATAATTTTTTCACTAATAATTTATGCATCAAATCACATCATATTTTTTCAATAATAATCTATGCATCATATCTTACCTTTAGTCATCACATTAAAGGTAAATTGGAAAGTAAACTAGAAAACTATAAATATACACTTCTTATTTCTATCATTAGTCAAAATATGAACAATTTTGGCGAACGAATGAGTAAAATTTTGTGTTACAAAAATCAATGAACACACAAATAAGTAAAATTTCATCATACCTTTTTCTTAATAATCTACCCATCACATCCTATTTTTACCATCACATTAAAGGTATTTTTGGAAAATCAACACCAAAATATCCATCCTTATTTTATCACTTTAGTCAAAATGTACCAATCTTTTTGAGACGGGGGGAATACTACTTATGTCTTAATGATAAATTTATCTATTTAGTATAAATAGAATAGATTTAACTATAATAAAGGTATATTTAGTAACACCCTATTTTTTATATAAATCAAGGTGAAATATTGAAAAGAGTTGATTATAATTAATTAAATTATACAAATATTTAAGAACGAGAAGTATTTTTTTTTCTTTTAATATTTGTCATGCTTTAGAAAGATTGGGTGGACGAATTAAACAGAGAATGGAACGGGCCTTAAAACAGAAGTCCATCATTGCAAATATTGGATCCAAAGCAGCTTTTATTCCCACATGAGGGTGAAGAGGACAAAGAGACATGATTTCTCGTCGACCCGAGGCCCAGAACATCTCGGATGGTGGGCCCAGAAAGGATCACCCACGTGCGTGTCGCTCACGTGCCCAGCATGCACGTTGGCTTAAATAGCCAACCGCTGTTTCCTCCTGACCCGCATCAATTCCCTGTCGGACTATTCGCCCACGTGTCCGAAGGTGAAGATATGCCACGTACTCTCTTTGTCACATTGGGCAAAATCACAAAATGAAGAGAAATTTTATTTTAACTTTTTAAGTATTTATAATTCATTTTATTTAAAAGTTGATATATAAATAGAAAATACATTTATTTTTTTAAAAATTATATCAGATGTTATTTAAAAATAAGAGATTACAAGAATATTTTATTTTATGAAGTAATCAATAAATCATACAAATAAATAAGAGTTTTCATGATTTTTTGAAGAAAAATGCTAGGGGTACACCAAAGGTGTACCCCATTTGTACTCCACCCCCTCCATCACCACACAAAAAGGCAAGAAACTAAAACAAAATTAAATAAATAAAAATAAAATAAAATTGAATGGTGGAGAAAGGGGTGAGGGACAGATGGGGTACACCATTTGGTGTACCCCTAGCATTGCTCTTTTTTGAATGGTCCAAAGTAACTTTTTTTTGGAAGGAATGATGTTATATTTTTGAATACTCCGTGCACATCACAAATTATGAAAAACTATAGTCTCTAAATAATTTTTTCTATTCAAACAACTTAAAAATCTTAATTCATTTGAATTGTTTTATCTACAAATTAACATAGAAATAAAAAATATAAATAACGCAATGCAAAATAAATCAAGTTCTATGAAACAAAATGTTAAAATATTATTTACTTTATTCAATAATCAAATAAAAAATGCAAACAAATGTTTTTGCGACGCCAAAATAGTAAAGAGAGTTTATTTGGAGACGAAAGAGCATTTATTTGTAGTGTAATTTTATTAAATTTGTGTTCATTTGAGATGTATTTTTAACACATTTATATTTATTTTCATTTATTTAAAATTATATTTAGTTTGTTGTTAGAAATATTTCAATAATTTTGGGAGAAATTTATTTTAAATTCAATTTATTTTATAATTAATTTTAAAACAAGAATAATTAAACCTATATTTATAAATATTACATAAAAAGTTTTACAAAATAAAAAAGTCATGACTAAGTCATTGATATACTCGTAAAAACTAGTACTTACAATTTAATCATATACTCCGTACTACGTAAATACGGAATACTACCTCCGTCCCCCAGTTTTTGTCCACTTTTGACTTGAAATTGTTCATCAAAGCACTTTAACTTATCAAATTCTCTCAATGTGTAAGCCTAAATATAGTCATGTGTGATCTTATTTGATTTGTCTTAACATATAGATTATTAATATATAATTTCTATAATTTTTTAATATACAAATTACAAGATAAAATGGATTAAAGAAGTGCATTGAATGATGTGTAAAAATGAAAGTGGACAAATAGTCTGAGACGGAGGGAGTATTAAATACTCCCTCCGTCCCAAATTATTTGTCACATTTCTATTACCGAGACAAAATATCAAGTTTTTTCAATTCATTTTATTTACATATTGGTAAAGAAATAAAAAATAAAAATTACATATCAAAAAACTACATGAAAAGTTCTTCGAAATAAGAGGTGTCAAGGATATTTTATTTTATCAAATAAGCAATGAAAACATAGAAATAAACAAAAGTTCCCGCAACTATTGAAAAAGCAAATGTGGCAAATAATTTGAGACGGAGAGAGTATAGAGTAGCAATTGTGTCCTGGAAGACTTTGAACATTGTACGAGGTCGGCCGGCCCGATGAAATAAAATGTTAGCTGGGCTGCGGCCTGTTTAGTTTTGGAGAACATGTGTTAAAATAATACTCCTACTCTGTAAAATATATATAAAAATAAATGAGTAAATTTTACAATTAGCCCCCGTTTGGTACATGGAATTCAAACTATGGAATTGGAATTGGAAGCTTCAATTCCAATTCTGGTATTTGGTAGCACAAAAATTATGTAGATTTGAAATTGATAGTGCAAAAAATGAATTGAAATTGACAAAATTCAATTCTATGGAATTGAATCCCATGGAATTTCAATTTCAATTCAATTCCAATTTCACCAATTCCTTGTACCAAACGGACCCTTAGTTCTTTATAGCAGTATGTTTTTCCTATTTATTTTTTTATTATCAAATATTATATCTGTAGTCGTTCTTTTATAGATACTTTTTCATATTTAGATATTTTTTACTTTCTATTGTGTTGGTGTTAATTTGAAATCTAAAAGTGTAGTTTTGCACTACTTTTACATCCACTCCAGTTCCAATGGTGTATTCTAATGTCCGTTTTAGGGACAACAAACAACAACGACTATGTGTATAGACTAAGATTCTGACTAAAAATAACATATGTAGCCCATGGTTACAGCTTTACACGCTTATAGTAGACTGCAACTCTATTTGACAAACGATATATCAGCAACGACCTCTTGCATTGGCTTTGACAATGATATATGATCATTATAAATTTACACTTTTAGCATTAAATTTAACACCAATATAACAAAAGATTACTTAGGAAAAGTATGTGAAATTTCTCACATTTCGTATGTAGAAAGGCATCATGCTCCATGTGATAATTTTTTAGGGCAACACCTATCACGCCCTCGTTATACTTCACTACTGTGTTGGTCTATGACTTTTTAGTAGGAACCAAAAAACCACCCCACTTTAATGTTCATGTCACGAAACTTTGAACTAACAAAGTGAAATAGTGGGTAAGACCGTTGTTGGATGAGCTCATGAAATTTATCCTTGACTTTATTCTAAAAGCCATCATTTGTTTGTGCATTGCCTATATTTCCTAAATGTTGTGGTTTTAAATAAAATAAAAGAATAAAATGTATTGAAAAAGGGGTGAATTTAAGGTCTCTGGAGCTTCTTTTTCTTATGTCGCTGGGACCTTTTTTTTCCTTTCTGCGGTTTGACCCACCCCGTTGTATTTTGGGCACAACGTTATTTATACCAAAAATATCCTCCTCCGCTTGGGGTTGAAGAAATGTGACGGCAGTGTAGGGTGTAGTACAATGGGTATGATGGTAGTGGTGTAGAAGTGTAGTATGGTTGTGACGTTGGTTGTAGAGGGATGTAGTATGGTAGGTACGGTCGTTACGTTTGTCAATTACCGAAATTGGCGTATAGTTGAAACCCGGGCCGATTTGATTGGTTTGTGTCCATTTTTGAAAATAAATATGGACAAATGGAAAGAAGGAAGGGAAGAAATAAAAGTTAAAATATCAAGTGGAGAAGATTTGGCAAAAATTTTAGTTAGAAGAAGTGAATTTATATAGAAAAATTAGGTTTAAATTTCAATTTTTTTTAAATTTAGCTCTAACGGTTAAAAAAAGATACAAATGTTAGTTCCATATTGTGTTGGCATTATTTTTTGACAAACGAATGGATTTATCTAGAATTATTTTAGATGTTTTATTTAGACTTAGAATCCTAGCATGTGAAGGAAGAGGAAGAGGAAAGAGCTTGAAGAGAGAATTCTAGTCCTACTTGGATTCTAAGCACACTCTAACATGGCTATTCTATTCTATTAATATCTTCACCCTCCCTTAGAGTTTTGGACGTGCAAAACTACGAAAAACCAGGAGCAAATTCGATCAAAAGAAAAACACAAGGTGCAGATTTTGAGACTGTAAATTCTCTGGACAGCCCGCACAGATTTGATCATCGCCGGAGATCCGACCGTTGGATTTTGCTGAAATTTTCAGAGGGTGTTCTCAACACATAGAGCTTCAACTTGTTAAAATTTCACGTCAATTGGAGTTACGGATCTTCTGTTATCAAAGTTACAATCTACACATTGTTACTGATTTTTTGCAGAAAACGCAGCCCTGGTTTTCTTGTTGGTTGGAGTACCAAATCTTGTCTGATCGTGCTGAAATTTTAGGAGGAGTCTAAGGACTCGTGGAGCTTCAATCTGAACAGTGGAGATCAAATTTCAACGGTTCAATCTCGAGTTATGAGCTTCTGAACATCCTGCATATTTTTGTAGATCAAGAAGAATCTTTATTTGAAGGTCGATTGGAATCTACGTCCTTGAAGAAGATCTTTGAGAAGGTGTAACAAGCCGTGGAGATAGACGCAAACCGAGTTTGTCGTCAAGTCATTCGTAAGTAGACAAATCAATACATTAGAAGGTTCTGTTGTGATTGATTGTGTAATT